ATGTTATGGTGCTGATATGGCTCACTTGGACCCATCATGACAGGGATTATATAGAGGAGTCTAACATTCATGATTTTCATGGTGATCTAGGAGAGAGATGCCATCGGTGTAAAATTTTGTTATTTTAATGGCCTAACATCCATAGGAATGGAGTTATGCACATAGTTGATATGTTAATGTATTGAACTCGAGCGGTAGGCATGTAAACAGATAATTGCATGCAGTGCACAAGAATTGCATGCAGTGCACAAGAAATATTATTATTTACAAAGCAAGCATCTAGGTGATTTTTTTGAACTATGAAACTAACGCATTTATGTGTGCTCAAATCATTGTGAATTTGATATAAATGAAAAACATAGGTTGGAGTTTTTTCATGACTTTTAATATTTGAGTGAGAATTTGAAATATGGATGAAAAAGAGTGCTGAATTTGTAAATAGCAATATTTGTGGTGCTCTGTATGTAATCGCCCTATAAATAAATGTATTTTTTCTATGAAAAATAATAATTGCAGATATGACTGTTTTTGTTTCAATACATGCCACATAATTCTTAGGGATTTGCATATTTAACACTTAAATTTTTATATTTATTTATATAACACTCAAATATTTAATATTAAATCAGACATGCCACATTTAAGTAGAGTTTAAAAGTAAAATAAATAGTTTCATTTAGCAAAAAAAAAAAATGTAATATATAAATACATATAAATTATGCGGGAGATCGTATGGAATATTTTTTCTCAACCATGGCTTCTCTTAAACATAAATGGCTAATAATTCCACCCTTTTACCCGCGATGACCAGCATTTCAAGGCTTTCGCGCATCACCACCGCCGCCGCCGCCACCACGGCCGCCAAAGCTTCTCCTTTCCGGCCTGCTGCCGCTACTCTTTTCGTCCCTTCTATTCTGCCCGTCTCTCTGATATTTTGGGGGCGGGATTTCTCATTAGGTTATTTCGGAACATGCATTCAGGAGGAAATTTGTCGCCATGGCTTCTGTGGAAGCCGCTGGTTCCACGGCATCTGCAGAATCTTTGGTGGTTAAGCCACCATCCCACCCAACCTATGATATCAAGGCCGTCATCGCTCTCGCCCTCGCCGAAGATGCGGGAGACCTAGGTCTACTTATCTTGTTCTCTTGTATTAGTCGATTTACTTAAAGCTTGATTCATGAACTGAATGTCTCAATAGCGGCCTGAACATGAATTATTTCAATTTTTAAATGCTTTGAATGCTCTTAATTTTTAAATGTTTTTTTTTTAATTCTCCTCTTGTATTAGTCGATTTATTTAAAAGCTTGATTCATGAATTGAATGTCTCAATAGCGGCCTGAACAGTAATTATTTCAATTTTTAAATTCCTCGAATGCTCTTAATTTTTAAATGTTTTTTTTTTAATTTTTATTTTGTGTTTCGCAATTGATTTTGGAACTTAATTATGAAATTTTATATTTCTTTCCTTTTTGGCTTAAAACCATGCATGCTTGAGCAAGGGCAATATTACTTTTCACCTAATTGCTGCATACATTCCACTCAATTCTTATGTATTTACATCTCTAACACCTTACTTATACATGAAAAATGTGTATTTCACTTTTCAAAAGTAAAAATAGTGGTACTTTTGATGTGATATGACAGATTTGGGTGATATAAGTGTAAAAACCAAACTTTTGGTGTTAGATATGTAAATATGTAAGAATTGGGGGTTAGCTTTGTTGAAGCTTACTGGGACTATGCATGTTCATTTCAGTGCGACTTTTTTTTACTATTGTTTTGCTGAAAATGTGCTATACTTGCTTGGTTTGTAGTGATCTCTTGAATTGAAACTTTACTGTTAAATATTATTGCAGATAGTATTCTGAAGTAACTTGAGAATTGTTCTACCTGTATCCAGCAATAACAGAAGGCTTTATCACAGCTTTGAGTTCTTATTTTTATATTTTTCTTGTTGTGTTGGAATAATGTGCACAGGTACTTAAGGGCTTGTTTGGGATCAGTGTTATTTTTGTTTTTTTTCTTTGTTTTTAAAAACATGTTTGTTTGATATGTTTTCATTATACTTTTATTTTTTGTTTTTAAAAACATATAAATATGTTTTAAAAACACTCAAAACAACTTTTAGTGATTTTGAGTATTTTCAAAAACAACTATATCTTTATCAATATATCAAACATGTTTTGTTTCAAATCAAAGTATAAACAAATTTTAAAAAAAAATAGAAAACAAATATCAAAAGTGATTTGTATCAGCCCCTAAAATTTTGAGGCCATTCCTATATTTACCTTACACCTGTCAATAGTAGGATAGAGAGGAGCTGGAGCGGGAGTGTACAATAGGAGGGGCGGGCGAGTGCTCTCAATTTTGATTTGTGTGTTGAGCAGTTGAGTGGAAAAGGGGAGTAGTGTTAGGAGTTGCTAGTGTGAATTTGGTCAAGAAGATGAGTGGAGGAGAAAAAAGTAAGAGAGATCTAGGGAGTCTTGAGTGGTGATTCGATCTCAAGTAGCATAAGGCAGAGAGTTGCTTGTGGGATTACTGCCAAGGCGAGTGTGCTGCCCGACAAATGTCTTAGATTAGGATTTTGATTCCCCTCAGTCCTTCTTAACTGGATAAAAGTCAATGAGATGGGACTTCAAGAGTGACAATTGGACTAGGTTGTGAGATTTTCAAGTTTCTACAGGTACGAGGCATTAACGGATTAACAGATTTTCAACTTGCTTGCCGCTTCACATGCTGGTAAATTTTGCGTTTTGTTTTTTTGTTTTTTGTGGCAAATTGGGAATTGTAAATATCTACCCTAAGCAAATTTGATATTTCGGACGTGTCAGTGCAATCTATTTCATCAACTGAGTGTATTGCTTGACTTGGTGTTTGTAATTCGTCATTTTTGCTGGGTGGCTATATGGAAATGCAAGGGATTTTGGTCATTTTCGGCACTTCAGATGCTTTAGTGTGGCATTTTTCATGAAATTCTTATTTACATAAAAATACTACCATAAAAGTATCAATTTTGTGAAGTTTTAATAATTCAAGTATTCATTCTATAATCTTAAAAAAGTTTACATAGTACATCAAGATACATAAATGAATTTAAAAGTATATACTATATAATATTATTATGAAATAAAGAGAAAAAAATTACTCTTTTTTTATGCTAAATATGAGCATGTTCTATTTTGTTTCCTTTGTTTTCTTAACTCATGACATGAGGGTGATAACATTATATTTTGGCATTAATGAACCACCATCTTCTATCCTAAGATCATGGATTATAAAAATGAAAAAAAAAAAGGTGAATTTACATACATGCCACTCATTTCTTATGTATGTTCATATCTAACACCTGAACATTCATATTTACATGTACACCACTCAAATCTTTTGCATCAAATGATAAATACCGTCATCACTATGTTCTTAAAGTGAAACACATAGTTTCATTCGTAGGTTTATGATACCAAGGTGTTACAAATGGAAATAGCAAAATTTGGGTGTTAAATATGTAAACACATAATAATTGTGTTATATATGCAAGTTTCTCAATATTATTTGCTCTGTGATATGCAGGAGATGTAACATCTTTAGCCACAATTCCTTCTGAAATGGAAGTTGAAGCCCAATTCATTGCTAAGGAAGATGGTGTCATTGCTGGGATTGCCCTTGCTGAGATGATTTTTGATCAGCTGGATCCTTCATTAAAGGTGGGATTTAACTTCTTCATAAAGATATTGTTATTTTTCTTTCATCTATATTACTAATAAATTTAATGAATTTATTTTTGCAGGTTGAGTGGTCTGTGAGAGATGGAAATTACATTAGGAAAGGCATGCAATTTGGAAAAGTATATGGTAAATTTCATACAGTGTTTAGAATATTTACATTCTGTGTATTTTGATTACAGTGTTTAGTATATGGTAACCAAGAGTGGAAAGTCTGTAGGACCTGATGATATCCCAATTGAAGTGTGGAAATATTTGGGAGATTTGGGAGTTTCTTGGCTTACTAAACTCTTTAATATTATTTTAAAAACTAAAAAGATGCCTGAGGAGTGGAGGAAGAGTATTTTGATCCCCATTTTTAAGAATAAAGGGGATGCACAAGAGTGTGCAAATTATAGAGGAATTAAGTTGATGTCGCATACTTTAAAATTATGGGAGAGGGTAATTGAACATAGGTTAAGATGCATCACGAAAATTTCTCATAATCAATTTGGATTTATGCCTGGCAGGTCTACTATGGAAGCTATACATTTATTGAGAGGTTTGATGGAGAAGTTCAGAGATAATAAGGAGAATCTACATTTGATTTTTATTGATTTAGAAAAAGCTTACGATAAGGTTCCAAGAGATATCCTTTGGAGAGTTCTCGAGAAGAAATGTGTTGATATGACTTATATTCAAGTCATTAAAGACATGTATACTAGAGCTGTTACTTGTTAATTGTGTTCAAACTGAAGGAGGATTGACAAAATATTTTCCTATTTCTGTTGGTTTACATCAGGGATCGACTTTAAGCCCATATCTTTTTGCTTTAGTTATGGATGGTCTTACTGGACATCTACAAGAGGATGTACCTTGGTGTATGCTTTTTGCTGATGATATTCTTCTCGTGGATAAAACGAGAGAAAAAGCCCAGGAAAAACTTGAATTATGGAGGTCTACATTGGAGTCTAAAGGCCTTCGTTTAAGTAGAACTAAAACTGAATACATGGAATGTAATTTTAGTAGTAATAGCTCTAGTGACAGAAGTGTGACTTTGGGTGATCAAATTATTAAAAGGTGTGAACGATTTAGATATCTTGGGTCCGTTGTCCAAAGCGATGGTGATATAGATGGGGATGTTAATAGTAGAATTCAAGTTGGTTGGTTGAAGTGGAGGAATGCTTCGGGCCTTTTGTGTGATAGAAAAGTACCGCTAAGACTGAAAGGAAAATTTTATAAGATGGTGGTGAGACCTGCAATGCTCTATGGCGCTGAATGTTGGCCTTTAAAAGAGAAGCATAATAATAAGTTAAGTGTTGCCGAGATGAGATTGATTAGGTGGATGAGTGGCTTTACACTTAGAGACAAAATGCGGAATGAATATATTCGTGATAGGGTTGGTGTAGCTCCTGTGACAGACAAAATTAGAGAAAGTCGTCTTAGATGGTTTGGTCATATTAAACGTCGACCATTAGATGATCCGATTAGGAGAGTAGATGTTTTAAATTCGACTTGTGTTAAGAAAAACAGAGGTAGACCTAGGAAGACTTGGGCTTATTGTATTAAAAATGATCTTAATTTACTAGAACTAAATGAAAATTTGATACTAAATAGGACGCAATGGAGAAAAAGGATTCATGTAGCCGACCCCACATAGTGGGATTAAGGCTTTGTTGTTGTTGTTGTTGTTGTGTAGTGAGGCTATTTAGTTGGCGTGTTTGGGGTAATTTTTAGCTTGTTTCTTGAGGCATTTACATACAGACTACCCAATTCTTATATATTTACATATCTAACACCAAAAATTTACTTTCTACATTTATACCACTAAAAGCTTTTATATCACATTAAAAATACCACCATCTTAACTTTTAAAAAGTGAAATACATCTTTTCATGCATAGGTAAGGAGGCATGTAGGGTAAGGTGACATGTGTGTAAAAATTGAAGTTCAGGTGATAGATATGTAAATTCATGAGAATTGAGTGGCATATATGTAAATATTTCTTGTTTTTTTTTTGTGGTTCGGAGGTCATGGGTTTGAGTCGCGGTAAGTCTTTTTGCAATTTAGAGATATAATTGCATTAGGAGCTTTATGTACCAACTATTTGTATGCTTTTTATTAATTGGTGTTATTTAGAAATCCCTTAACTAAGTTTTTTATGTTTTGAATGAATTTTTTCATGTAAAGGATGTGCACACAGTATTGTTGTAGTCGAAAGGGTTGCACTGAACTTCATGCAGAGAATGAGTGGAATAGCGACTTTCACTAAGGTGCGATTCATCATTCATCCATTTTTTTAGTTAATCTTTTATTGTGGAGCCTTTCCTTAAAATGTTTGGTTTTTGCAAAATCAACCTTTAAAATCTTTGGAGCAGATACCAGCTTATTGTCCTGGATATCTTTTTCTGAAACTTCATGTTTATGCTTCCCTGCTTAATGTTGTATAAACCTTAAAATATGAAACAATCACTACTAGAGAACATCTGCTTTAATTTTTAGGGGCATTTACAAAGCCCATTATTCTTATATATTTACATATCTCACTCTTAAACTTTCACATTTACATACATAACACTTTGGTGCCTTAAACCTATATATGAAAAGATATATTTCCCTATTAAAAGTGATAATAGTGATACTTTTGATGTGATATTAAAGATTTGAGTGATATGTGTGTATGTATGAAAGTTTAGATGTGAGGATGTAAATATATAAGAATTGTGTGCTATTTATGTAATTGCTCCTAAATTATTTAATAAAAATATGAATTATTGCAATTTATGAAGTGAACTTTGTCTTTGATTCTCTGTCTTGTGGCGGTACTATTCGCTCTCAAATTCTCCCTTCCCTCTCTAACTTATCACTTTGTTTCATTTAGTCCATGGCTGATGCCGCATATCCTGCAATGATTTTAGAGACGAGAAAAACAGCACCGGGTCTACGCTTGGTCGATAAGTGGGCGGTCTTAACGAGTTCTCATCCTCGTGAAACTTTAATATCTTGGGAAATTTATATACCACACAATTCTCATGTATTTACATTTCTAACACCCAAATTTTGATATTTACGTTTATAAAACAGATCTATGCATGAAAATGTGTATTCCAATTTTGAAAAGGCAGTGATGGTATTTTTAATGTGATGCTAAAAATTTTTGTGGTATACATGTAAATATAAATGTTTAGGTGTTAGATATGTAAATACATAAGAATTGCGTGGTGTGTATGTAAACACCCCTAATAGCTTTGCTTGTTTTGCCTTGCTCACCAAGCTATGTGACGATAGGTGCTAATTGGGGGAGGAAAGAATCATCGAATGGGCCTGTTTGACATGGTGATGATAAAAGATAACCATATATCGATCGCTGGTGGTGTTGTAAATGCTTTGAAATCAGTCGATTCGTTCTTGAAAAAGAAGAATCTTAAGATTCCTGTCGAGGTATATTTTCGGAAAACAAATTTTGGGCGCTGCATATATTTTAGGAAGATTTGCACACATACCATTCATTGCTTATGTATTTACATATCTAATGCTTAAACTTCAATGCTTACATATATGGCACGTTATCTGTGCATTAAAATTGGTATTTTACTTTCTTAAATTTAAAACGATGGTACTTTTTGTGTGATATAAAAGGTTCGGATGGTATAGATATAAAAGGTAAAATTTGGTTGTTTGATATCTAAATGCATAGGAATTGGGTGGTATGCATGGAAATGCCACAATTTCTTAATATATTTGCCATAGTGGTTGGTTGCTTTATCTCCAACCGCAAAGATGTTGAGTTCAAGGCTTAGTACATACGGATTAGTGTGTGAATTAAAAAAAAAAAGAAAAGAAGAAGAACCTTCTTAATATATTTAGTCATGTTATCTTAACATTTCAGCATTTTGGCATAGGGTTTCTTTTTTGTGCCTTTATACTCCTATCTATATATATTTTAGGAGCATTTACAAGTGTTTCACCCATTTCCTATGTATTTTCATGTCCAACACAAACTTTGTTTTTTACATTTATACCACCCAAATCTTACATGTCTAACACAAACTTTGCTTTTTTACATTTATACCACCCAAATTTTTCGTACCACAAAAAAACTCTAGCTTTTTTTACTTAAAAAGAATGAAATGCGCATTTTCATGCATGATAAGTTAAAAAAACTCTAGCTTTTTTACTTAGAAAGAATGAAATGCGCATTTTCATGCATGATAAGTTGGCATATGTAAAATTGAAGTTTAGGTGCCAGAGATATAAATACATAGCAGTTGAGGGGTAATGTATGTTAAATCTTCCATATTTTTATTGATAACAGTAGGTTTTCTAATTTTTTGTACTCAAATGGTGCATTTTTGCTATGTGAAGGATTATTTTCTCTCTCTGAGTTTTCATTATTTAGATTGAGACAAGGACATTAGAGGAAGTGAAGGATGTTCTAAACTACGCGAGCAAAACTGTGTGTTCCTTAACTCGAATAATGCTTGACAACATGGTGATTCCACTGCCAAATGGGGATGTTGATGTAACAATGCTTAAAGAAGCTGTGGAAATGATTGATGGAAGATTTGAGACCGAGGTATTTAGCATTGCTTTGGGTGATTTTTTCTCTATTTATAGTTTAGAAAAGTGTCAAAATAGTTCCCTGATTATTTGCACGGGTCATTTTAGTTCCATAGTTTATACAAATGACAATTTAGTCCCAAAACTCTTTTAATATGGGCTGAAATGGTCCACAAGAAAGACTGTTTCACCCCAATTTAAAGAGTGTAGGTGCTAATTTGATGTTGTTTTAGACTCTCGGACTACCCTGAGACGATAATATATGAGAACATGCAAATTTTTGGGCTGTGAATTTATTCATTTTCACTCCAGCTGCTGAAAATTACTTCATCCACCTGTTATTTAAAAGTAGGATTTTTCTTGAAATGCTTTTAAAAATAAGTTGTTTTTTACAGTCATGGTGAACATCAAAGATGAACTTTAGGGGTTTTTTTGTATGTTTTTGAAGACTGCAGTCCTTTTTTCTCTTACTAGGAAAGTTGTTTTGCGATGTAAATGTTAAAAAATGATGGATTCATAACTACTAAATAAACTAATAAAAAGATTTAGTATTCCATTCATTAATGATCAGTAAAATTAGAACTTTTAGAAGTTGGATGGTCTCTAACCAAAATATAAAAAATGTATAAAATTTAGGGGCATTTTACATACATGCCCCCACAAATCTTATATATTTATATATCTCACACCTAAACTTTCTTATATACATACATCTCTTTCTTTAGGTGTTTGATATGTAAATACAAAAGAATTGGGGTATGTTTGTAAAATTCCCTAAAATTTATCAATAAAAAGAAGGCAATGTTTTTCTAAACCAAAATTTCCTTATTATAACAATGGGCCCACTCACTGGTTTTGATGTTTTTATGAGTGCTGAAATTTAACCATCTTTGAATTTCAACAAATGAATTTCAACAAATGATTGCAGGCTTCTGGAAATGTTACGCTTGAAACCGTGAAGAAAATAGGGGAAACTGGTGTCACCTACATTTCTAGGTATGCCTCTCAAACCACTTGGCAGAAGTCCATTTACATACATACCACCACCTAATTCATATGTATTTACATATCTAACACCTAAACTTTTTACATTTATACCACCCAAAGCTTTCATTTCACATAAAAAATACCACCATTTTTTACTTTTAAAAAGTGAAATACACTTTTTCATGCTTAGGTAAAGTGGCATGTATATAAGGATTGAAGCATAGGTGCTAGATATGCAAATACATAAGAATTAGTGTGTGTGAAACTTCCTTTTTTCTTTTTCCCATTGACTATATACACAACCATGATACCACCATGCTTCTATTTGGCATCCAAAGAATTGGCTTGAACCTACTCTTGGTTTCCTTCCACAATTTGGTTAGATTTTGGCATCATGACGACGTGTTTGTGGTGTAAAAATTGGAGGAATGGTAAAATCTCTTTAAGTTGAATCAATGATTGAATTATCGTACATGTATTTTGTACATCATTATACCATCGATGATACAAAAATATGAACCACTATTCATAGATCTTCTCGTGCTAATTTCAATAACGATGGCATAAGCACTTTATGCTCCGATCACTCTATTTATATCAAGCCGGACTCATTTTCACAAAGCCTACTTGAGTGAAAACATATTATGAATGGAAGAGGAGGAAGAAGATGAATATAAAGATTAAAAGGTGGCCAAAAGAGGGGATGTTGTAACCTTACCTATGCATGAGACTGTGCATTTGACTCTTTAAAAATTAAACAGTGGTATTTTTTTATGTGATATGAAATAATTGGGTGATCTAAATGTGAAAAAAATAAAATGTAGGTGTAAAATATATAAATACATAGGAAGTGCGTGGTATGCATGTAAATGCCTCATTTTCATAATATACAATTATGGTGCATCTTATGCTTCTCTTGCAGTGGGGCATTGACACATTCAGTAAAGGCACTTGATATTTCTCTCAAGATTGATACTGATCTCGCTCTTCGAGTGGCAAGGCGCACAAATCGAGCTTAATCTTCATCGCAGGCAATTATGACTCAACCCTTCCTCTTCTTTCAAGCAATATTTTCTCTTAGGAAATTTACATATCACACAGTTTTATATTTGTCCAAGAATCACACCGAAGGAACATAATGTGGGAAGGAGAGAGAGACGTATAAAGATATTTGAGGAATCAGGTGTTTTTGTATATGATTTCAAGAACCTCTTTTACGTCTAACACTTCTCTATTTCATAGAGGGTTATTAATAGTTTGAAATGATAAGTACATCCCTGATCGCCTTTTAATATCTCAATCCTCAATTGATTGATTTCATGTCGTGAGGTCGTTGAATATCTGACAGATCGTCTTCTTGTCGGCCGGCCTTTACTTGAATGGTCTCTGACTATGTCAATTTCTAGTTCGGCCGGTCTTTGGATCAGTTTACCCTTGTTTCTCTACTTGATCAATATTTGGTCCGTCTCTCGATATTTTTGTTTATTCTCATATAGCTCTACCTAGTGACACGTGCTCCGCTCTGAGTCATTAGATTTGAAAATTTTAATTAATGATATTTTTATTTTATAATGTCAAATTCTTAAGAAAATGTGAATATGAATGTTATTTCAATTTTGATGTGATGTTAAAAATTTGAGTGATATGCATGTAAATATGAATCTTTGAATTAGTAGAATTTTCATAAATTGGCACTCTTATGGTAGTGTTTTTAATGTTTAGGGTGATGCTGGCGCTTAAAAATTATTGTTGCGGTGTAGATTTGTAAAAAAAAAAAAATTGATGTTACATATGTAAATTTAATGGTTTTTTTTTGCTTTCACAATATGGATGCCTGAAAACCTGACTGGAATTTTACTAAATGAGAAAAAAAAGGGATTTTTATATATGGACGCCCTTAAATAATGTTATTTACCTATAAGAGTTTCAAAAGATTAAATTTATGCCTTCCGTCTTCTCGTCCGCCTACGCTTCTATGGTGGATTTGATAGGGAAGGCGATAAGGGTTTCTAGTTATGCGGGAGAGATCTCTATCACAACAACTTTTCCATCTTCTCGTCCGCCTATGCTTCTATGGTGGATTCGATAGGGAAGGCGATAAGGGTTTCTAGTTATGCGGGGGTTGGCTTCGATGACGGAGATGATGTTCGAGTTGAGGAGAGGGGCAAGAATGGCGGCAACAATGCGCTAGTTATGGGTGAGTTGAACAATGTAGGTGTTGAGGACTTTGATGGCGTTGGGCTAGTAAGGGTTTAGGAGTTCGCGGATGAGACCTGCAATCTTGCAACCATTGATGGTGCCGGAGTAGTGCTAGAGGCCAATGATGTTCATGATGAGGTTGAGCTTCCGTTGGAGATGTCGGCGGCTGTCTGTCAAGGGAGAGAAGGAGGCCTCAGCCAGAAGAGGAGGGCTGGGGGTGGAAGAGGAGGACGATAGAGGCATGGGCGGATGGGATGATGGGAATGGTGTCGTAACAGTGACTTCTCATAAATTTTAATCTTTTGAATTTTTATAGGTAAATAACATTATTTATGTGCCACCGTATATTATAGAACCGTCTAATAAAATTACAGCTTTAGTTCAGTTGAACAAACCAAGTTTCAAATTGATGTTTTATCTATTAATTGAAGTGAATGGCGAAGTTAGTTATGACATATAATATATAGTTATATCTGTTTATTTTTAATCAAAATGTATTCCATATGTTTTAAATTTATCTTTTGAAATATAATAGAGGCATTTACATATATGCCACATATATCTGATGTATTTATATATCTAACACCTAATTTTTAATATTTGTTTTCTTAACACTAGTTTTTTTTAAAAAAATATATATCATTTTAATTAGTTAAATATTGTTAATGGATAAGTTAACATCAAGGTGTTATAAATATAAGGGGTATCTATATACATGGAGCATACTTTTATGTATTTTTATAGCTCACGCCTAAACTTTTATATTTACACTTGTCGCTTCAAATTATAATATCACATAAAAAAAGAATAATATTATTATATTTAAAAAAAATTAAATACATATTTTTCATGTATAGGTTTAAAACACCAGATGTTAAGTATATAAATATGAATGTATAGATGTACATAAGAATTGTGTACAACATGTAAATTTTTGAGAAAATATTATATATGCAAGTATAAGAATTGTGTAATATTTATATACACATCATGCAATTATTATATATTAAGAATTTACCCATCGGGTGTTCAAGAGGATAGAGATGGCCATAAATTAAGTTCTCAAGGGTATTACCGTCAAATCGTTCTAACGTGCATAGATAATGTCCATCTATAAATAGTCAAACCCCCCCACACTCCATCAGTTGCTCATTTTCCCATGACGGAGAGCAATATCATTCAATTCTCAATCCTTAGCTAGCCCTAGTCCCCTCTCCCCCCTCTCTCTCTCTCTCTCTCCCCGAAGCCTAGCTATCTTTCTCTCTCTTCTGAAAACCTTAGTAACTGTGGTTGTATGGATGGTCATCAATGGCGTCGGAGCCGCAGGGCCAGGAGCATTCAATTCTTACTCAAAGCCAGCATTAACTCTTTCCAAGCAAGGGTTGAAGAAGGGGCCATGGACGCCGGAGGAGGATAAGATCCTCGTTGATTTCATTCAATCCAATGGCCATGGTAGCTGGTGCTCACTTCCTAAGCTCGCAGGTTTCCATTCTCCCCCCCCACACCCCCCCCATCTCCCTAACCCCCAACCTCCGTTCTTTTTCCATCTTCCCTCGAGATCAACCCTTTCGATCCATTTTCGCTCTGGAAAAGACAAAATAGTTTGTTATTTTTAAAAAAATTACGTTCGTGCCACTGACAGTAGTCTATATCTGCGTTCAGCTCGATCTGAGCCGTTCATTACGAAACCTACGGCGGTGATTCTAACAGAAGTTTATAGAATTCCATTGCAGGGCTGCGGCGGTGCGGGAAAAGCTGTAGGCTTCGGTGGACCAATTACCTGAGGCCCGATATCAAGCGCGGGCCATTCACCTCCGAAGAACAGAAATCAATCATACAGTTGCACGGGATCGTCGGCAATAAGTAACGCATCACAACCGTCCATTTCTTTCTTTTGATTACAATTTAATTATTTGTTCCGTCTTTTTCATTACTACATGCACCCTCACTTTCTCATTAATTGCATATCTAGCAGTTTTGTCATTAATCACTTGTCATTAAGCCAATTCCTAATATCGGGCATAATTATTGCTGCTTTTTAGCTTTTGCCACCTTTCCTCTTTAAATTTTTTGTTTTTGAAGTGGAGATTTTATGCATATAAAAGGGCACATCTTATATGTTCCAACGCATTTAATTTAGAATTAGAAGATTTACATACATGCCACACAACTTTTTCATATTTATATTTATAATATTTTGGTGTGCTAAAAAAAAGGTGCATTTAACTTTTTTTTTAAATATATTCATTTTATGTAGGTAATAATGATGTTTTTAATGTGATATTAAAGATTCTAGTGTCATGCATGTTGCTATTGAAATTTGGGGGTTGGATATGTAAATGGATAAGAATTGTTTGGTTTTTTTGTAAATGACCCAAAATTGGAAGATCTTTGGTAGAATGAAAATGCATCAAGTTAAATGGAATTGAACTCTTGTTTTTTTTTTTTATAACATATTATTAGCATGATGATTAATTTAAAGGCCCAATTTTGATTTATATTTACAATCTTTGAGAAGGATCTATGTGCGAAAGTTTGGGTCACAATGATAGGAATATAAAATTTGAATTTTTACATACTAATCATCTAACACATTTAATATAACTTTTTAATCATCCAAAACCTTCACTCAAAACCTCATGAGTGAGTTTTAGGAGGGGTTGGTTGTAATGAAAAAGTGGTTAAAATGTTATATTTAAAATTTATGTGGCTAAAATATTATTTCAAATTGATGCATTTAGGTGTAACGATCAATTGAGAAATTGTTAAAAATGATAAAACATGGATTGGTTTTTTATTGTGAATTGTAATATTTTAGTGAGAACTAAAAATTTTGGATGAAGGAGGATGCTAGGTTTGTAAATAGGAATGTTTCCAGTGATTTGTATGTAATTTTTAATTGCTGTAACCCATTTTTTTTTTTATTTGAGCCATTTACATACATACTACCCCATTCATATGTATTTATATATCTAACATCAAAATTTTACTTTCTTTACTTTTATACATCCATCATTTTAAATTTTTTTTTTTTTCAAGTGAACTACACCTTTTACATGTATATTCTAGGTGGTATGAATGCAAAAATTAAAGTTAAGGTATTTGATATGTAAATACATAGGAATTGAGTGGTATGCTTGTAAATGTCCCCGTTTAATATATTATGAGTCCAATCATGTCTAGCACAACCAGAAACCGCTTTGCATGATAGTGAAGTCGGATTTAATACGGATCAAAACTAATAAATCTGTCGTTTTGTCCATAACTCCATCCCCACTAATAAATAGCAACCAAACAAAAACAATCCATTTTTTACTATCGTCCTATTCCTCCATGATTGATTGCATTTTTTTTTTCTCATATTGATTGCATTCATATTTTTTTTATATATTTCTTATATTTAAATTTATATCTATACTATTTTTATATAACAATCAATTTATGCACGGAAGTAGATTTTTTTTAAAAGTTAAAATGCTAATATTTTCATGTAATGTCAAATATGTAAATAGATAAGAATTGGGTGGGTATGTATGAAAATGCCATTTTTTCCATTTAGAGTTTTCCTCCAACCAGTCAACATTTTAAATTCATAACTTTAATAGCAAGTGAAAATTTTTCACTAAATATAGTTTTTTTTAAAGACTGTAACTTTGACTTGTGTGCGTTAAAAAAAGAGCAGATTTGAATTCATGTCAAAAGTCCTGAATTCAGAATCTGCAACACACACATCTCTTGCATTTATTACCATCTTATGTGTTTCTTTTTCTTTTTGTTGTTTTCCTTCGTGACGCGTCCTCGCCATTTAATGCGGCAACATGCATTATAAGCCCTCCCCCTCCTCTCTCTCTCTCTCTCTCTCTCTCTCTCAGAGAAACTCCATTGTCGTCGTCCCAAAGGTCCCATCTTTCTCTCTCCTCATTAACTCTCCTCCCATCCCATCCCCCATTTAGTGGTTCGATTTGTCCACCTCCTTCACTGAATCCAGTAATTAAATAAGCAGGTGGTCCACCATTGCTGCTCAGCTCCCCGGCCGGACTGATAACGAGATCAAGAACTACTGGAACACTCACCTGAAGAAACGCCTTCTCCGAATGGGGATCAACCCCGACACCTACGCCCCCTCCTCCCCTTCCTCCGCCTCCACAGCCTCTTTTCCGCCCACCCGCCACATGACCCAATGGGAAAGCGCCCGCCTTGAGGCCGAAGCCCGCCTCTCCCGCGAATCGCTCCTCTTCTCCTCCGCATCCTCCGCCGCCGTCGGCGGAAACATTTCCACTACCGACTCCGAACCCCCCGATGACTCCCTCCTCACCGCCAAACCCCAATCTGACTTCTTCCTCCGCATCTGGAACTCCGAGATCGGTGACGCCTTCAGAAATCCGCAGAGGACTCTCCGCGCGGAGGAGGCCACCACCACCGCCCCGATGACGGAGAGCAAGAGCTGCACGTCGGCGGGCGGGGAGGTTCCGTCGGGGCCTCCTGATTCTTCGAGCTCCAACGAAGTGGATGAAGCGTCGGACGAGACCTACCAGCTTTATCTGAACCTCACCGGCGACGAACTGGGGCTTTTTCACGGCCAAATGGGCGGCTTCTCCCTCTTCTCTGCTGATCTCAACGATGCCGTCTTCCTGGACACAGCATTCAAATGAGATTATATGATGCATGTTATTATTAATTATGAATATATAATTATTTTGATTAAATATAAGTATGTTAATCGTGCTGGTTTTGAAGTGGTTTGGGGTGGGTTTTTCTTTTCTTCCCGAGCTTCCATTAATGGAATGGAATGGAAGCTTTTGTTTGATGTTTTGTTAAGTTTCAGGGAGGAATGGAGGGGTTTTTGGTGGGGGAAAGTTATTTCATCTTTCCTCTTGTTGTATTAGCCTAGCTTTTATGCCTTGTTTAAATACTAGGCTTGTTTTTTTTTTTTTAATTTTTTTTTTTTGGGGGGAAAAATTTAGATCTCATGCCTAAACTTTCATTTTTACATACACTCATATTGGTGCTTTTAAAATTATGCATGAAAAATACGCATTGCTATGTGTGTAAGTATGAAAGCTTAGGAATTAAATCTTCAGGCTATATAATGCCACTAGATGAAATGATATTCTTTCCAGAAAGGCCTGGCTATGATGGGGACACTTTGAAAAGGTAACTAAGATGTCGAGTGTAATTAATATGACAACAGAGATTGCTTGCTCATTAAATATGCGAGCTCAGATACATAATGCATCAACAGCAGCTTAACGTCGATGGTAAATCCTACCAAAAGTAGAACCAACAGTTCAGATTTCAGAAGAAGCTGTCATGTAATAAATCTGCTTTATAAGATACTTTATATGTGCATGCTTGAGAATGAGCACACATGAGCACTAAACATGCTTGAGAATGACATCTGAGTATTTATAACACACACACACACATGAGCACTAAACATGCTTGAGAATGACATCAAATAATAGGGTAGGAGCATTTACACGCATATCATCCAATTCCTATGTATTTATATATGAGGGCCTGTCTCGTAATGGATTTATAGCAGGATTTAAGCTGGATTTAATCTAAATCTTGTGAGATGGTGATTTTGGACAAAATAAGGCCTTAGATTTGATGAATTTGGATTTCACGGATCTTGGCCTTGAATACCCTATTTACTAAATCCTGTGAATTGGTGGATTTAGTGAATCTAGGATGGACGCATCCCTCGTGAAGGTGGAAAAAAATAGGAGTTTTAGGTCACGCCGTGATCCTGTCATTGCGTTCCCAACTAGCTCAAATTGCAAGGGCACGGTAACGAAGCTGGTGGTTTTGGATGAAATCAAAGCGGGCTAGGCACATGCGAGGGTTTGGAGGAGAGGAGCAATCTAGGTGGGGCTTCGAAGAGAGAGAGAGTATTGTTGACAAGTGTTTCTATTGATATTATTTAGGTTAATTTTTTGAATTTAATTTTGTTTAATTTTATTAATTTAATTGATTAATAAAGAATATTTGATTAAAATATTATGAGAATAATTACACTTAGATATGTTTATTTATTATTTAATTCTTGATTAATAAAATAAATAAATATAATTTCTTTATTCATCCAATAAATTTATAAATATAATTAATAACTAATTATTTTTATTATAAATTACATTTCTATTTAATATCTAATTTAATTAGTTTCGTAAATGCAGAGATATTAGTTATCATATTTTAAACAAAAATATTAATTAAATTTAAGAAACTAGTTTGACTATTTTGAAAGGTTTTAAGAAATTGAATTTAGATGATTTATTAAATTCTATTATATTCTGTTCTTAAGTTCTAACAACCATATCACATAAATTCTGACAGAAATTGCCAAATAATTTCATAGAATTTATTAAATTCATTGCTCATAGAGATTTAATCCTTACAGAATTTATCAAATCCCACTGACTTAAATCTCATCCATTGCGATAGAGCCCCTAATTCTTTCATAATGCATAAAAAATAATCACTATTTTCAATTTTAAAAAGTGAAATAATTTTTTTTTTAATGTGGCATATATGTAGCAGATTAATTTACATACAAATGACATAATTTTTATTTGTTTATATATAAGGATGCTAACGATCCAATTTCAAGCCAAGTCAAGATTGAATCAAAATTGGCTCGAAGAAAAATTCGATCCAAAATTTTAGCTCGTAGCTCAGCTCATGTTTCTATTAAATTTCGATTCGAAAAAAATCGAATTTATTTTTGAGGGATAATGATCTTCGGACCTAAATTCGCTAAATTCAGATTCATAAGCTGTAATCGAGTTGGTTTGGGGCCGACTCAAAATCATGTTGAAAAAACTTCAATCCAAGATTTTGGCTTGTAGCTCAACTGATTTATTTCAATCTGGTCTCAATCCGAGCCAAAGTTCGAATCAATCTTCGAGCAATTAAACAATTTTCGAGCTAAATTCACAGCTCTATTTACATATCTAACACTCAAGGTTTAATATTTACACTTATAATCAATCATCTGGGTGTCCATAAACCAATGCATGCAAATGTTCATTTCACTTTTAAAAGGTTGTAATGGTGGTATTTTTGATGCAATGTTGAGTGGCATGTATGTAAATATGAATGTTAGGTGTTACATATGTAAATACATAAGAATTACGTGGTATGCATGTAAATGCCCTCTTAGATTTGGATTTCACATGCGAGAATGGACAAAAAAATTTGTACATCACCCCATTTAGTTGTATTTATTTACACCTCACTATCCTATAATTAAGAAATAATTAAGAAATAATTAAATATAAAACTATAGAAAAAGGCCCTTAAACTCTTCTTGGTTTGTAATATGGTAAATTATTCAACCAGAAAGAACAAAGAGATTAAGACGATGATTTCAAGGTGCATATACATAAATACCACCCAAAGCTTATGCAATTACATGTCCGACACCTAAATATTGCTTTTTTACATTTCTATCACCCAAATCTTTTATAAGATATCAAAAATACCACTATTATAACACATAGAACTTGAGTAGCCTGTATTAAAAGGTGCAAATGAAGGAAGTAAGAGTCAAGTGCATTTTGACACTAAATTTTGTAACGAGATATATATGTCATTTTATGATAAATCAGGAAGGATTTTGACAAAACAATCATGTGGAACAAAAGTCATCCAGAGACATCATATCAATTAATGGGTAATGAAATATGTATGTTCTAAAAGCAAAAATCATGATTTGGCTAGTCTACAAGATCTTATTAAATCATAAAATCCAAGTGTGCAAAACTAAAAAAGGGAAATGTACATATGTAGCACACAGTTCTTATGTATTTACATATCTAACACCTAAAGTTCGATATTTACACCTATTACACTTCAGTTTTGTAAACCTGCACATGGAAGGATGTTAAAAAGTTAATAATGATGGTATTGTTAATGTGATGTTAAAATATTGAATATTATAAATGTAAATATGAAAGTTTTAAGTGTTATATAAGTAAATACATAAAAATTGTGTGGTAATGTATGTAAATGCCCCAACTAAAATACCTTAGTCAACTATTCTGCTGAATATCCATAACTTTCCACGGATATTCAAGAATAAAAGGTAACTATTTTAAACAGCTTCCATGGCAGCCCAAAAAGCATCGTTTTACTCCAACAAGCCTCATTAGTCTTGAATAAGCTTTATGAATTCTTATTCTCTATTTGACAAATTTGAGTATTGCACAGTTCTTTTTTGAATAACTTCACTGCAAGTTATAATCAATATACTTTAATTTACTTATTTGCCTAAAAAAATATAGGATTTTTAACATAATTCTGAGTGATGCATCAATTAATGACTAACAGGTAAATTTTCTCCTATGCTATTCTTTGTACCTATGTGGACACACACATGAGTGGGCTATATTTTCATAAAGAGTTTGTTGTTGGCTTTTTAAATTGGAGATATTCATTTCATTCTATTTTTACTGTTAGTTTTTAGGATTTTGTTTATGATGATGGGTATTTAGTGGCTGATTTGCTTGGTTTATATTAATTCTCATTATGCAGACTCCCAACATATGCATTCTATTTTCCATCCTATTCAATCTTGAAGAGAAATTGGAACATATGCATTGAGATTAGAAACTTGAAAATAAAAATCAACATTGTAAATTTATAATGGAGTAGATAGTTCATTAAATAAAATGTAACGAAGTTATCAGTTGAGTTGTAAATTTTAATTTGTAATTCGTTGTGTAATTACAAGTTTTGAGCAATAACAATTTATGATTTTTTTTTGTTTATTTATTTATGTGTCATTACTTATAAAAAAAAATGCATAAAATGAGCACAAGTCGAACAAGTTTGTTGAAGCTGAAATGAATCGAAAATGATCGAGAAACAAAAAAAAATCAAACACAAAACAAAAATGAAAAAGCCAAACATGAACACAAATCAGACTCTCTCAAACTCCATTATTTTTGCACCCCCTAAAAAGAGAGCAGGATCTGAATAAGAGGTGATGAACATGAGGCACATCGTAAGTGTGCTCAGGAAGGAAACAAAGGCAGGAATTCTACCTAGGAAGGTAGCAGAGACCATTTGAAATTGTGCAAATGAATATTGATTTGTTTTTTTATCGTGAGGTGAGGTGTAAGCCTTTAAACAGTGAATCTAAAAATTAAAATATTAAATTAATAAAAAAATATAAATAATAAGTAATACTTTAATAGAAGAGTAAGTTCAAAATGATTTTATTAAAAATCAATATATGATCGTAAAAAGTCATAGAAGCATTAACTCTAAGATAAACTATTAAATATTAGGAAGACTTACATACACATCACTATTAAATATATGCAATTTTACATATGCATGAAAATGTGAATTTCCCTCATAAAAGTTAAAATAGTGGTATTTTTCATGTGATATAAAAAAATTGTGGTATAAATGTAATAAGCAAATATTACGTGTTACATATGCAAATACATAAGAATTGGTTGGTATGAATGTAAATGTCCCAAAATATAAACAAGAACTATAAAAAAAAAATCACTCGCAATTTACTGTAAACAATCCCAAAATATAAACAAGAACTGTAAAATAAAAAAAAAATCACTCGCAATTTACTGTAAACAAGAAGTCTCTAAGATCATAAACTTTAAATTCAAAAGTAAGTCCACTACCATCACTTAAGAGGTTTTCATTAGAATCACTAGTGTGGTTGATTGCTCACTCTCCTTACCGATATTTGTATCAACGTCTTCCCAATCTTTCTCAACACTTTCAATTTCAACCATCTTATTTAAGACAATTTTATATAGATAATTTTGATATTTATTAAGTACAATTCTAAACTTAAATTTTTTGTTAGTTTCTTGTTGCCTCAACAAGAAAATGACACCATGGGAGCAATGTGCTATACCACACACTACAACACATCTTATTTTGCACTATTACCATATATGTATTAACCCAAGTAGAGTTATTAGCAATAACACACTACCAAGTGGATTGAGTACATCTAATTAACTTCAATTTAAGTTTAACTTCTTATAAATCATTAATATTGTTAAGAAGAAAATCAGTTATATTATCAATAAAATTTCAAAATTCCTTAAAATTGTACCTTTATAAAAAATTAGATAAACAAATTTTAACCTCAACATAATCATTATTAACTCTTTGAAAATAAAAAAAAAAAGTTTATAAAAATATTCTAATTTATCAATCCAGTTTAAAAATAACACCGGCTATAATATCAATTTGATTTAGTATATGGTGGGGTTAGGGGTTACAAATGAAACTAAGTGATGCAATATATGAAACCAAGTAACTTAGATTAAAAGTAGGTAGTTCAAAAGATCGATGTTCAAGCAAGTAAATTTTTATAAGTCAATAAAATATGAAAAATCCATGTCAAATGATAATTTAATGATTGAATATCAAAAAAAAAAAAAAATCAGCGAGAATTTGAAATCATCAAAAACCACAAATTGATCAAGATTCACAAAAGATAAAAAGAAACTCAATTATAAGCAATTTGAATAAAATCCACAACTAACAAAACTTCTGAATTATTTGGAAGAAAAAAAATGCCAAATAAATAAAATCTAAGCAATATGTTGATATAAACTTAATTTATCACGACTGACCTATGTCGACAACTATTTTAAGTAGCTTAGGAATTGGGTCTACATGAACCAAATCAAAATCATGCTCGGAAGCGTAGCACATTGTTTGAAAACAAAGTGAAAAATTTCAAGGTATTGGGTTCGCTCGAAGAAAAAAAAAACAAAATCGCTTGGGTGATCTCTTATAGACATAATATCTTTGTTCTTCTCATCATTCTTTCCACTAAATCCCCAAATTTCATGTGAAATATCAGTTATCAATTCCATATTTGACTCATTCAAACACAATTGGTTTAGTTTTGATGCCACTTCCAAAAAACACTCGAACAAATCATTGCCTAACTATTACCATGATCAAACTATGTTATTTTGCATCATTTCAAAGTAATTTCTAGTAAACTCTTGCCCACTTCTTACCACTATGTAATGATGCATCACATTCAAGATATGTTCCAATATCGTCATCAGATTTACTTCATGAATCTTGTAGATTTTGTCATCAGTATTATTATCCAAACTTGGGACCAACAAGGAGTATGGATTCATAGTATTTTTGCCAAGCGATGAATAATCTAAGAGAAACCATCATAGCTATATGATATTCCTAAGGGGCTGTATGATAACGGAAACTAGGGTGTATGTTCAATCTTGTCAGACGGAAAAAATGACAATTTTTAAATCATGATTTAGTAAATCCAGTTTCTTCTCAAAATTACCTTAAATCCCCAATTTACAAAATCTCAATTTTGTCTTAAATACCGGATTTGCTAAAGCTTCTAAATTCGTTACCAAACAACCTTTATTAGTTTGAAAGGATTTTCCAGCTAAAATCAATGAAGAAATTTAAACAAAACTCTCATCTGACTGAAGCAAATCCTTGTAATCTTGTCCTGCATTGTAATTACCGACTAAATTGAGCTTGGCTAAAAAACTACTAGTCATTCACACTTTGAGCAATTTCACCCATTCATTTTAGAAAATTCCCACTACTAAATACAATCATTAACTTACAAAAACAAACAAAATATAGTAAATAATTGTTGCTGAAATTCAAGCCATGGATTAAAAAAGTTATATAAAGTGATGCACAAAGAGAAAGAGGAGTATCAACCAAATCACACCGAAATATTTCTCTTTGCAAGCAACATCATCGAGAACTAGACACAATAATATAAAAATGGGGATAAAAAACATAGTTTGCTCAGGAACAAGTTGAAAAATCCGACTAACCTCCTATGAAGCAAAATGCGAAGAACCTCTAGCTGCCATGATTGTCACCTGAGCCTGAACCTGTGCGGCTCGCACCTTAGTTTCCAACGCCCGGTGAAAGAATTGCTCCCTGGACAGCGCCCTCACATTCTTCAGATACAAATCAGATGGAATCGATCCCTCCTGCATCGCCTTATCTAAGGAATAAATGGTGTCCTCCACTGCAAGGTCCGCCGCAGCGCACTCAAGAAGCTGTTTCGAGGGCACATCGGCCGGCTGAAACACATCATCGACATTGACCTCGTGCGGCCACTTCCCCTCGCTCTGCTTGACCCATTCCTCAAGCAAGTCCGTGTTCATAAGCACAAGTTGCAGCTGCTGCTCGAGCTTCTCCTTCTCCTCCGACATCTCGCGGATGCCGCTGGCGAGCTCTTGTTCCCGGCGCCGAAGCTCAGCTTGCGAAGCAAACATCCCCTCAATCTCCACCTCACGCGTCTTATGGAGCCCGGCAATGTCAGCTTGCACGGCCTCAATGATCTTGTTGATAGCGTTTCGACGGGACACCTCGGTGGAGTCCTCAGACGGCCTGCCATGTAGCCGGGAGGCGTAGGGGGCCAGCGAGGAGAGGATTCGGGAGGATAAATGGGAAACCGAGGGGGGAGGGGAAGGAATGGGATTTGGAGGAGGGAATGGAATGGGATTTGGGGGAGGATTAGGGTTTTGACGGGAGAAGAGAGGAGGATCGTTACTGAAGATCTGGGAGAGGGAGCGAACGAGGTCTACGAGGTTTGAGGAGGGGTACACCCAATTCTGAAGGTAGGGTACGCGGACGCAGCCAGATCGATCGACGTGGGGATGATTGGGTTTGACTACCATGTCAGGGGTGGGATTGAGGAGGACGGAGGGAGGGGAAAAGGGGTAACGATCGACGAGGCAGATGGATGAGGGGATGTTGTAGACGACATTGGCGAAGACGATGGGGATGGTTCCATCGGCCTGGAGGAGATTGAGGGTGCGGCCATCGTTGTGGGTGAAGGAAGAAGTTTGCGGGCGAAGGGAAGGGTAGGCTTCGATTAGGGAGACGAGATGTTGGCGGATGAGCCACTTCGTCTCCTCGGCGTAGGGAAGAGCAGAAGGGCCGCGCTGTGAGAGAGCGTTGCTGAGAAATTGAAGAACGTGAAGGGATGAGGGGCCGGCCGGAATTGGCGACGGTGGCGCCATCGCTCGCTGCCTGAGGAAGAGAATAGATTCGTGTGGCCGGTTGTCTGTGAAAATATTACATCAGTAATTAGAGCTGCTAATTTTGGATCGTAATAGTGTAATCCCTGCTTTATGAAAAATTATTAGGTCTCACGACCTCATATTCTCTGCATGCGGTAGCGAATGAAAAATTCGTAATAGTTCGGAATGTCCCTGCTTTATGAAAAATTATTAGGTCTCACGAACTCATATTCTCTGCATGCGGTAGCGAATGAAAAATTAACATGTGTAATGGTGGGCCCCCCACGAAAATAAATAAGCAGAATGCGTGACCGACCCGAACTCCGCCCAATAACCGGAAAAAACGTATATTTGTGCTTATGGAATCCCGCCAAATCTAGCATTTGGACATTTTCGATCCCGCTAAAAATTATTAGTGTCTTATGGATGTAGATTTTTTTATTTTCTCGTCTGTTAGTAGTCGGCGAGTAGGGCAGAGCTCGTCTGTTAGTATTCGACGAGTAGGGCAGAGTTCTTATTCCATTTCGAGACCACATTAAATGGATTTCTCATTC